ACAGACTTTTCTTCCTAGGCTGGCTTTGAACTGTGATCCTCAGATCTCAGCCTCCTGAGTAACAAGGATGACAGGTATAAGCCATCACTGCTCAACTTTGTCCCTTAGATTTTTTTTTTTGCTCAAGGTGGGTGCTGTACCACTTGAGCCACAGCCCGACTTCCAGCTTGTTGCTAGTTAACTAGAGATCAGGGTCTCAAAAACTTTCCTGCCTGAGCTGCCTTCAAACTATGATCTCAGCCTCCTGAGTAGCTAGGATGACAGGCATGAGCCACTGGAGCCTGGGAATGCACATCCCAATTTGAATGATAAATATTTATGAGAAATCCTTGACTTTTGCCAAGCTTGGTGGCACACATTTGAGATCCCAGAGCTGAGGTGGCAGAGGTAGGAAGATGAAGAATTGGAGGCCAGCCTGGGCTATACTGGATCACCCTGCCTCAAGAGCAATTAAGAGAAAGGCAAAAAGTAGATTTATGTAGTTGAGTTGTTCCAGGCATGCTTGGGAGCTTTCCAATAACCAAATGAAGTATCAGTTTTATTTTTAGAATGGAAATTAACTAAAATGAAATGAAATGCACTCCACCTAACAACGGCAGAATACACATTCTGCTCAAACACTCATGGAGCACACGAGGAAGGGCCACAGACTGAGTCATAAAACGAGTCCCAGAAAAGTCAGTGCTTGAGAGTGTGCACACTGCATCCTCCGAGCAGCCTAGATGAAGCTGGAAATTAACAGTGCTGGGAACAGTGGCACAAGCCTGTCATCCTAAGAATGAGAGACTGACATTCAAAGCATACCTGGGGTAAAAAACAAGGTGTTCATTTTAACCAATGGTTGAGTCCTCCCAGTAATTCTGGGAAACAGAAATAGGTAGATCAGAGTCCAAGCTAGCTGTGCAAAAATGCAAAAAAGGACTAGCAGAGTACAAGTGGCAAAGCACCTGCTTCTCAAGCCTGAGGCCTTGAGTTCAATCCCTAGTATGAAAAGGAAGAAGGAATGAGAGAGAGAGATTGGTTGGAGGCATGGCTCAGTTGGTAGAGTACCAGCCAATGAGCAAAATCATCAGGTACTGTATTTAACTGCTGGTCTGGGATGAGAGAGGGAAGAAGAAAGAGACAGATAGAGACAGACAGAGAAGCGAGAGAGAGAGAAAATAAACTCAGCCAGGTACTGGTGGCTTATGCTGTAATCTTGGCTACTCAAGAGGCTGAGTTCTAAGGGTCATGGTTCAAATCCAGCTGGGACAGGAAAGTCCATGAGACTCTTGCATCCAATAAATCACCAGAAAACCAGAAGCGGTGCTATGGATAAAAGTGGTAGAGTACTAGTCTTGAGCTGAAGAGCTGAGGGACCATGCCCAGGCCCAGAGTTCAAGCCCTATGACCAGAAAAAAAAAATCCAGAAGTGGCACTGTGGCTCAAGTGGTAGAGTGCTAGTCTTAAGCAAAAGAAGCTCAAGGACAGCGCCCAGGCCTAGAGTTCAAGCCCCAGAACCAGCACAAAACAAAAAAGATAGGCATTCATGCGTAAGTGATATATACCTGGAATCCCAGCTACATGGGAGGCAGAGGCAGGAGGGTCATAGATTGAGGCCAGCCGAGGCTACATAGTGAGACTATCTAAAAGAAAAGGTGGGGGGGGGAGTGGAGGGAGAGAGAAAGATCCATGAGAGAAGGAAATTGGAGAGATTCACAAATGTTGTGACAAACCACACACTCCATAAAGAATCACTGGGTTAAAGAAGTCACTCGTAGGGCTGGGAAGGTGGCTCAGTGGTAGAGCACTTGCCTTGCATGCCAGAGGCCCTGGGTTCCATTCCTCAGCACCACATAAGCAAAAAGAAAAAAGCCGGAAGTGGCGCTGTGGCTCAAGTGGTAGAGCGCTAGCCTTGAGCTGAAGAGCTGAGGGACAGCACCCAGGCCCAGAGTTCAGGCTCCACGACCGGACGACCCAAAAAAAAAAAAAAAAAAAAAAGAAGTCCCTCGTAAAATGAGGACATGAAGTAGGCTTCTGAATTCACCACGCCAGCCGCATAGGTTGCTGGGCACTGTTGCTGTGGTTTGGCCTGTGTGGCACAGGTTCTGGCTAAGTCTCGGTAGAATGGACAGGTGAACAGAGACGCTGAGTGGGTACGTTTCCCCAAATTGCTGGTGGCTTGGCAGCCATGTTTGGCCCAGAGTTCATCTCATCCTTAAAAGAAATATCTCGGTGTCTCGCTGCCCCTATAGGAAGTTTGAGAACCTGTACATCGGCTGGGGTCACAAGTACAGCCCTGAGAACTTCAACCCTGCCCTGCCGGCCCCCATCCAGCACGAATACCCCAGCGGCCCCGAGATCATGGAGATGAGCGACCCCACGGTGGAGGAGGAGCAGGCGCTGAAGGCCGCTCAGGAGCAGGCCCTGGCGGCGGCTGAGGAGGAGGAGGAGGACGAGGAGGAGGAGGAGGATGAGGATCTGGAGGACTGAGACTCTCCGGCCCCATTCTGCAGGCAGGCAGACAGCAATGGTCCCTTTACCCATACCCCAGTGCCCATGGTACTTTCCTTGTTCATTTGTGTTTTGCCCCTGGAGGGCAGCGATAGAAAAAGACAGGTCTGTTATTCTTAATAAAATGTCCCCTTGTGTCATAGAGGCTGGGGTCATTGCTTGGTTCACTTTTATTGACCCAGATGCAGGGCTGGTGGGCTCTGCCTGGGCCACAGGCAGGATTTTTTCATTCTTATTGGTCATGGGGCCTCAACTCTGGGCCTGGGCTCTGTCCCTCAGCTCTTCAGCTCAAGGCTAGCACCTCTACCACTTGAGCCACAGCGCCACTTCCAGCTTTTTGCTTATGTGGTGCTGAGGAATCCAAGCCAGGGCCTCATGCATGGGAGGCAAGCACTCTACCACTGAGCCACCTTCCCAGCCTCCATATCTTTTATTTCTCCATTTAGCCATCAAACAAGGCCAGCCTCCAATTCACCATCTTCCTGCCTCTCAGTCTCCCCAGTGCTGGGATGACAGGTGTATACCACCATGCCCGGCCACTAAACAATTGTGAAAACACTTCCTGTCTGCCTAGGCCTGGTCTGGGGGACACAGAAGGGATGAGGTATCTTCTCTACTCCTGCCTTCTCAGGACAGATTTAAACCCAGACAGGGGAATCCAAATTGCAAGATGTGGGGGCTAGGAAGGTAGCTCAGTGGTAGAGTGCTTGCCTTGCATGCATGAGGCCCTGAGTTCAATTCCTCAGCACCACATAAGCAGAAAAAGCCAGAAGTGACACTGTGGCTCAAATGGTAGAGCGCTAGCCCTGAGCTGAAGAGCTGAGGGACAGCGCCCAGGCCTAGAGTTCAGGCCTCACAACCAACAAAAAAAAAAAGAGTGCCAAATTGCAAGATGTGGACAAAACTTTTTTTTATGTTTTCAGTTTGTTTGTTTGTTTTTTGAAACAGGGTCTTGCTGTGTAGTCCAGGCTGGCCTCAAAGATGAGTTCCTCCTGACTCACCCTTCAGACTGCCAGGACTCCAGGTATACTCTATCATACTTGGGCTCAAAATTAATTATTAAAAGACCAAGAACAGAATAAGACCGCATGTGCAAAAGCCCAAGGCCCAAAGGATATGATGAGATGTAAGGGAATAACTTCTCAAACCTCAAAGAGGCAGGAAGTGATGGGTTAGTAGTGAGAGAGGAAATTAGTGAAAGCTAGGCGGGCAGTGGCACATACCCGTATGCCTAGCTACTCAGGAGGCTGAGATCTGAGGATCGTGGTTCAAAGCCAGCCAAGGTCGAAAAGCCCATGAGACTGACTAGATCTCCAATTCACCAACAAAACTCTGAAGGCATAGCTCAAGTGATAGAGTACAAGGCCCTGAGACCAAATCCCAATACCATGAGATAGATAGAGAGAAAAAAGTTAACTTCAGTATAACATTTTAGAGCCAGGTGTGGTGGCAGCAATCACATCTGTAATCCCAGCTACTTAGGAGGTGGATGTAGGAGAATCATGCATTCGAGGTTAGCTTGGACACATGTTGGCAAGACCTTCTCTCAAAGGAAAAGACAAAAGGCCGAGGGGAGAGGAGTGGAGGCGTAGCACTGGTCCAGCATGGTGAATGCCTGTGTTCAAACCCTAGTAGCACCACCATCAAAAAAAAAAGTTGGAGCTCTGTGGTCATTTGGGAACTCAGTGGGGAGCAGTGGAGGTCAGGGGGTGCATTGTAGATAGTGTAAGAACACAGTCATCACCTAGGACCAGTTGTGACATCATGGGAAAGCGGTGGGACCAGCCCTTCTCCAGAGGGTCCCTCCGTTGCTAGGCAAACGGTTCCCAGGGCAACGTTGTTAGGGACCCGAGCTTTCCTCTTGGCCACGCCCCCTCCTCGCAGGCCACGCCCTGTAGCCAACCACAAGTCTGTCACAGGCACGGAGGTCACACCCACCTATTAGCCACGCCCACACCCAGAACCGTTACCCGAGCGACCAACGGGGTTGGTCCTGCCTCTTCATTCAGGTGCCAATCGAAGAAGCGTCTCCAAGGTGACGACCCTACGTCTTCCGGCTCGGGGCCTGCGGCTTCCGGCTGGGGGCCCGGCTGCGGGCGGAGGTCCGACAGCGGCGGGGCCCGGGGGGG